TAGTGGTCCATACACATGAATAAAAAGTTTTAAAAATAAAATCAAATATAAAGTTACATCGGAAGTAAAGCTTTATTTTGTGTTGATGATGATAGTACTTTTTTGTTGAAAATTTTTACACTAGAATTTTTTACCGCATGGTTTCTAGATAGAAAAAGTTTATTTTTCAAAATTAGGATACAAAACTGTGTCATATATATCGCAATCAACTTCTGAATCAGCTCATAAAAATTTCTCAAATCTTTTATTATTAAATTGTAATAATTTTGCAGCAATACCGTTTCTTATAATTCATGTAAATCCACAACAGAAGTTAACCCTATAGTCTTTCGTATAGCATATGGAATCATGAACTAGTTCTCCTGGGAATATTAATTTATGTGACTTTTATCACGAGAACAATGCATACTGAAAGAAGAAATTTAAAAAAAATCTGGAACCAAAATTTTTTATCATCTTAGTTATGTTATTATACCCCACGCAACGAGTTGCGGAGAGTATAATGTTTTGACCCGTCCGTCCGTCCGTCTGTCTGTCCGTCCGTCAGTCCGTCAGTCTTGTTTCTTGTCATCGCAACTCCTCTCAAACCACACAACAGAATTTCACGAAACCTTTTTAGATAATAAGGACATACTATGTAGTTGTGCATATCGACAGGAAATTACGATTCAATTCTTTTTTCTAGGAGTTACGCCCCTTTGAACTTATTTACTTTAATGTACTACTGCAACAGTTTGTCATCGCTATTCCTCTCAAACCACACAACAAAATTTCATGAAACCTTTTCAGATAATAAGGACATACTACGTAGATGTGCATATCGACAGGAAATTACGATTCAATTTTTTTCCAGGAGTTACGCCCCTTTGAACTTATTTGCCCAATATACTACTGCAACCTTTTGTCATCGCAACTCCTCTCAAACCACACAACAGAATTTCATGAAACCTTTTCAGATAATAAGGACATACTACGTAGATGTGCATATCGACAGGAAATTACGATTCAATTTTTTTCCCAGGAGTTACGCCCCTTTGAACTTATTTGCCCAATATACTACTGCAACCTTTTGTCATCGCAACTCCTCTCAAACCACACAACAGAATTTCATGAAACCTTTTCAGATAATAAGGACATACTACGTAGATGTGCATATCGACAAGCCTTGAAATTACGATTCAATTTTTTTCCAGGAGTTACGCCCCTTTGAACTTATTTGACCAATATACTACTGCAACCTTTTGTCATCGCAACTCCTCTCAAACCACACAACAGAATTTCATGAAACCTTTTCAGATAATAAGGACATACTACGTAGATGTGCATATCGTCAGAAAATAACGATTCAATTTTTTTTCCAGGAGTTACGCCCCTTTGAACTTATTTGCTCAATATACTACTGCAACCTTTTGTCATCGCAACTCCTCTCAAACCACACAACAGAATTTCATGAAACTGTGTAGATAATAAGGACATACTATGAAGATGTGCATATTGACAGGAAATTATGATTCAATTTTTTTTTCTGATACATTTTTTTTTCCCTTGCACTTATTTTATTTCTCCAATGACAATGTGGGGACATGGGGTATGTGAGCGCGCTCACTAAGGTTCTTTAATATTAGACCTGTATTGAATTAACTGAGCTTGGTGTGACGTAATGGTTTCTGTATATATTCAACAATGGTGACAATTTTGGGTCAAAAATTTTCCATTTTTGTGTTTTTTTTTCCAGGAATTACATATCCATTAATAGCAATGAAAACCCTGGTTTTGGCGCCATCTGATATTATGTACTCGCAGAGATCAATTCGTCCTGCCTTCAAAAATGGTGACCTGCTCGGAGACATTCGTGATTGGATTATGACTGGTCAAATGGACGTGGAAGACCTTCCAATGATTTCGGTGAAATGCCTCCCTGGTGACAGATTTTTGACCACAGACAACAGAAGATTATGGATATTCAAAGAGTTGGAAATACTTGGTGAAGTCAATCTGATTAGAGTGAGAAAGATTTATTGGATCCCTCACAGCAAATGGGGGTATCGAAGTTACGATGTAGAAATACGAGGTGATCCGGGTGGGTTTCTCGACTACCACGACGATAGCACAGTTGTTGAGTATGAATCTGTTAGTGAATGTAAATGCAACGGATATTACTCATCGGATTCTAACTCGGACGACGATGACGATTACTATTATTATATCTACTGAATTAAACTTTAATTTCGTATCATCATCATCCATTATAGTATACAAGAAACATAAATAAAGATGCGTTTTCATGTTATGTTTGTAAATAGCTTACACATTCTCCGTTTTGGTGACATATGCAACGTTTATCATAACTGCCTTTTAAGATTATGACGTTTTGAAGTATTTGGATAAACTTTATCGTTTGTGTTTTGAAATGATGATAAGCCGCATGTTAGGAATCATTATTTTTTGTATATAAAATTTAAATACTGAAGTTGAATGTTAACATAATGTTGTTTTTTTTTTTTATATTATATTGAGATTAATTATTTCTAATAGAGTACTTTATAGTGTACTATGTTACATTGAATTCTGGTTTCGAATAAAAATTCTGATTTATTAGCATTATGATTCCGTCGACTATTATTTTTTTTAAACTATTAATATCAGAAACCACTCGTCCAATTATAAGCCAATTTGATTTGAACATCAAATCGTCAATGTAATATTGAAATAAGGAGATATAGTATGTGGTATGATTGCCAAATGAGACAAATAAGCTTTAAGAATGAAGAATAAAGATGTTCAACAATGAGCAAAATCACCATACCGTTTAGCGGTAGAATACCTTATATTATACCAGGAGTGAAACATTTCAAAACAGAAAATCAACGACCTGTTTTATATAAATTATAAAGTTTAAACAAAGAGGATGAGAACATACAAAGCCGGGGATCAGTTAAAAACTATAAATAAAAGAAAAAAACAGATGACACTATGACCGAAAGAAAAACTATGAAAATTCAAACAGAAGTCCACAACACTAAATAGGGAATTGAAGATTCAGCGACACGAATCCAACCAAAAACCAAGGTCAGTAATTCCTGTTCCATTCCGTTAACACCTGCTCCGTGACTCCTGTTAAAATGCACAGAGTTACACCAGATGATAACGCATTACGTTTTGACTTTTCTATTTAGGTACTTCTGGGTCATATAACCCTAGGTATTTATACATGCACGGCTTTAAAGTTTTTGGTTTATTGCGTTCGCGATGTTGGAAAATCTAGGAAAAGCGCTCTATACGCACCAAATTTCTTGCTATTTTCAGCAGATTTGTGAATATGTATCTTGTCTAACCCTGATACATTACCAAATTCTATAATAAAAAAAACCAAGTTTTACCAATCAGACAGTGACGTAATACAAGGCATAGGTACTTGGGGACAGGACAATTTTTTTAGCCCTCCCCCTTTTTTCCAAAATCCGTTATTTTTTTGTTTTCCATTAATTTCAATTATTTTCGTGTTTTACTGTATAATATGAAAATATACTAGAAATAATTATAGAGAGAGCTCTCTATATAATATATCGGTGACCGCTGTGGATAGTAAACTTGGAATTGATAGTAAATAGCAAATACAAGTTATTTCTAGTATATTTATGTTCATATTATACAGTAAAACACGAAAATAATTGAAATTAATGGAAAACAAAAAAAAATAACAAATTTTGGAAAAAAGGGGGAGGGCTAAAAAAAAATTGGTTTGTCCCCAAGTACCTATGATACAAGGTGGTCACTTCCATTTAAACAGATTTAAACCCTTACATAGAGGAGGAGCATGAAGCTTTGTTTTCTGTTTACTATTTGTTCAGACTCAGTATAAAAATAACAAAATGTGGTATGATTGCGAATGATACAATAACGACCAAAGACCAAAGGAAAGTGATGTGAACACAACTACAGATCCAGGATTTGTTTTAGTGCGAGCGCAACTCTTAACGGCTAGCAGATCAAGGCAAACATTTTTTTACGTGTTATATGCCAAAATTTTATTCCGATTCGAGCACGCACAGGGTTTGCTCCACTTGCATCCCCCACTAACTGGCCTATGTGAGCGTTATAATTGCAGACTGTTAATATCTTGTTTCTTCCAATAACATTTCTTTCACAAGAATGTTATCGTCATTTTCTCGGATTCTTGTCAAAACTTATTTTCAACAAGGATTATACGTCTCACTTTTTGACTCTTTGAACTTGAAGCAATAATTTTATATACGATCAATGCACAAACCACGTGTGATAACAGAATTAATGATCGGCATTAAAACACTTCGCGTATTGACAAAAACTGAAAAAAAATTCTCGTGTGTCAGTTTGAGTTATGGAACTTTGATTGTGAAACTTATAAATGGATTTTAATGCTAGGTTTGATAGGGTCGCCGACTTCATTTTTACGGTATACATCATTCAAAGTGGTGTTCTATGTGGAAAAAAAATACCATAAAACGTCGAAATAATCGTAAAGCCATGGCGTTGCAGGCCGTAAAATGTTTTTTTTTTACGTTTTCACAACTAACTAGGTAACAGATTCGTTATAAGGCAAAAAAACCAAGTCGGTACCCTTATGACTATTTTATATCATTTAAACGGAAATTTTTATATCAGCAACATTTAGTTTTTAAGAAAAATCTTTGTCTTAGAAATTAGAGATTTGATGATTTTAGGACAAATTTAAGAAGGTTTTTCGCCGATTTTATGTGCTTTCTATACAAATGTTCACATATTTTGAAAGAATTCAATCAGAACAATTTTAGATATTAAAAGAGATAAATGCATTATTTTTTTTCGATTTGCAGTTATAGTTATTTGAGACAAGGTTGTATGCAAAATTTTAGCAAAATCTGTGACATAGCACATTCACTGTTCCTTGACCTTAAATGCTTTTAAAAAAGTGCTGTTTTTGACTGAAAATATTAGGTCTCCGGAAAAGTCATGCTTATTTATCCAATGTTTTATCCTAGACACTGGGTTTTTGCAACAGAAAAAGATGGTCAGTGGATTACACAGAGACAAGAGCCGCGCATGGCTCTAATATCAATTTCTTTACATGGAGATGAAATACACTTTGATGCACCAGGAATGACAACGCTCAAGTTACCAAAAGACCCGAAGAAGGACCAATGTAAAGTAAAAAAAGTCCAGTAAGTAGTAATACCTAAATAAAGTTAACATCACATGAGCGAAATTATTTTCAAGAGCTTTCAAAGGTCATGCATCGCCCGACTGATTGTTTTACTTAACGTCAAGAATAGCCAGAAAAGCCTAATCGACGTTACATAGTTTGCGTAGATTGCAATAGGAGTGCGGAAAGAATTGCTCGTTTTCTCTTAGGATTATTGGCATCTAGCTTCCATATTGTCTCTGAAAACGAAAATCTATGTAGAGTTACCCAAATCAAAATCATTATAAATATTGAAAAGATTCTGTAATTTATAGTTTAAGAGATATGAGAAATTTTAAATTATTTTAATTTAAAGAGTTTAGAAAAATATATCCACGTGCAGAGTTCACTCAAAACAATCTTCATATTCTTGACTGTACATCATTAGAAGTGTCCGTCTGTATCCTTCTACAGGGTCAAGATGGATATTATAGATTCTCTTGATTGTGGAAGTGAGGCTGCCGCGTGGATCAGTAAATACCTTGGTAGAAAGATGTGTCTTCACTACTCACCGAGTGATATGGAGAAACGTGATTCTGTTAATGCTCAAAAGCTCTGGAGCCATGATGCCAAACAGGGGGATCTGGTAATTATTTCACTACAATATGTGTTTATGTATAATGTAAAACCTGAGTAGATTCATGTGTAAAAATAAGCATTATTTACGTCCCGACAAAGCACTTGAACTATCTCGACGTTCCAGTTTGTAATATTGTCTTAGAAATCTCAGAAACTTAAAAGAAAATTTACATTAAATGGTAAAATGCATGCATGCAATTCTTATTCTTTAACGACATTTACTGTGTGCAGAAGAAACCATCTGTAATTAAGTAAAGCTAGGACATTGAGTGAGGATATATGGTCATATATTAGTCAAAATCGAAAGGATTTCTATAAAGGATGGGTGGTTTTAATCCTCTCTCCGTCCTAACAGCCGTGGGAGCTATTACTAAATTCAAAATTTTAAGACAGTCCCAAATCCCAAATCTCGACTTGTGATACTGTTTGAAACCCGTTAAATGTCGTTTGAAGGAACACATAACTTAGTTTGCATGAGATTCTAACAAATTGAAAACTTCTTCGTAAAACGGGCACGGTATGACTATACAAGTTCTCTTTATAATTATGACAACTCCAAAGAGACGAAAACTTTAGATTAAATTGAATTGAATAATTGATTGTTGTTTGGTAAACGTTCAGTGGCAAATATTTCATACATAGTGTGAACGTGGTCCAGTTAGTAATAACGTTAATATGTGGATTCTGTAAGGTATGTTTACCTGCAGTGGCGGATGCAGGGGGTCCGTGGGTTGGACCCCCTTTTTTGACGATCAATGTATTTGAATGGGGACATATAGTTGGAACCCCTCCCTTTTATCCTGGGTTGGAAACCCCCCTTTTAAAAATGGCTGGATCCGCCCCTGACCTGCATGGATGAAGGGCGGGGAATTGGGACTGCCACTTGAAAATAAGTTAATGTTAAATAAGGATAGATTTGTTGTCTTTCAACAGGTCATCTATATACCTGCAAAAAGCTGTTGCAAGAATGCAAGTGTTCTTCAACGTGCGGAGAGCAGACATCGGTTATAAGTTGCCCATTCCAATCGGACATGTCTGCGTATTTATACATCCCACACAGCTTAATGGATGCACCTATCAAGCATGGGTTAAATTCAGAAATTCTCAAGTATTAATTTAAAGCTTTTATAATATTTCTAACAATTTCAAATATTTTAACAAAATCACTACAACTCATAGTAATTTAATTTAACTCTGAATGCTTTATATAAATTTTACTTAAAAACTTATTTTTCAGATTAACTGTAACTTAAAACACACATTTTGATTTTTTTAAACGACAGAATTAATATGTCATTATTGTAGGAACCGATTATTGTTTACGAGAATGTTACACATACATGTATTATTCTTATACAGACATTGCATTACGCCAGTACAGTGAAAACAATTACAGATGTTTATGTATGTTCATGTCTATCGTGATCCTTTAATTGGACAATAAACGATTAATCTTAGACATTGCTTTCTATTGTCGTGTTTAAAATAAGATATGCGATGTGATCGCCAATGAGACAACATTCCAACAAAGTCCGAATTACGTATATGTAAGCAGTTACAGGTCACCTTACCGTGGCAGGTTTCGAAAATGAGCAAAACCCATACCGTCCATATAGTGAACTATGCCTTTTATAGCCGACCATACGGTATGGGTTTTTCTCATTTTCGAAGGCCGTACGGTTGCTTTTTATTGCTTACATCCACTTCATTTGAACTTTGGTGGATAGTTCAGTTGTCTCATTGGCAATTATACCACATCGCCTTATTTTTTATATAAAAGGCACCTCCATGACAAAATGTGAAACAATTCAAACAACAACAAAAAACAAAAAACAGCCCGAATAATTTAAAAGAAACATACATTAAGCGATTAACAGATGTCACAAACAGCAACTAATGACAACCATCGAATTTCAAGCTCCTGACTTGGGACAGACACGGTGATACACGATGTGGTTAAATCCCCGTGAGCGCTCAACCAACACCTTGCCCTGGGGCAATGGTGTTACAGCACAGCACTAGAACAAACTGTAAAAAAGGTTGAAAAATACCATTATTCCCTATCAAGGCCAACCGCCTTTTACTTTTAGTTGACGTAAAATAAAATGTTCTCTTAATTTCAGTTGATACAAGTTTTCGCTTTAAATTAGTTGATATTTCTCAGTTTCAGTTAATGTTTATTTTCTCTGTATTTTAAGCTAAAATAAAATCTGTTGATATACCGTTTCCATTTAATTTCAGCTTATTTTCACTTTTTCTGAAATTTAAGTTGATACAAATTTTCCTTGCAATTTAAATTTATATAAACTATCTCTTGAGTTTTAGCTTATATAGATCGCCTGGTATACTACCAATTTTTTTCTCATTGATTTAAGCCGATATGAACTGTCTCCTGTAATTCAAACTGATATAAATTTTTTTTATTTCAGTTGGCATTTTCTGACTATTGTGCTTACATGATGTTGTCTCAGTCGGGTCTCGATGAACTTAATAATCGTCTTGCCGAACCAGTCACGTGTCTTAACTTCAGGTCTAACATCATCGTTAAAGGATGTCCACCATATGACGAGGTAATCAGAATATACTATTTATAGCAATATCAAATTTTAATTCGTAATGCAGTATTCGGTGTTTAATGAAGAAAATAAGAATTAAAAGATGTGAAGATGGAAGATGTGACTTTAAAACACAGATATGCAGAAAATAATGTATTGTATTTTTTATGACGTTCCTGAATAAAATTTACTCTGAGCTGCAGCCACCGATATAAGAGTATTAGACGACATATTTCAGGTAGAGTTTCTGTCATTGTTTGTGACTTAACTTTTCAGAAGAAATCAGTTATTGTATTAATTTCCGGAGTATATCAAGATTTGTATGGTAAAAATGTATGTTTCCTAGACCTTAGAGAAATTCAAATTAGGGAAATATCATTATGCGCACAATATTTTGAGTGAGAAATATTTTTTGCTCTGTTTCGCATCTGACAATCTTAACAAATCAAACACCTCTTATCTATGGTATGTTACAGACATAGGGATAATAACATGCAATTTGTGTATTTACTGACTGAACGTGCGAGACCCTCATGGGTAGACCATGTCGTGTAAAAACCCCGAAGTAGTATACATTTAGATAACTTTTCATTTATATATCCAAGATTTTCATATTTTACCTTTACCTTCTGTACTTGTTATTCAATTTGTTAAAAAGTGAAAATAGAAACTAAATAATAGTAAACATAACACATATATATTTATTGGCACTGGCTACGATTACCCGCAAAAAGTATAACAATAAGAAAAAAATAATGTTAATTCCGAGACTATTAAATTGCCGAATTGTATTTCCGGACAGCGAACCGATTTCATACGGAAATTGCAGGTAATTTTATTGTTACCTGCAGTTATTGTTACGCGGAATTGATTACTAGTATTCTTGATGTTGTACCATATTTGTTTCAGGACAACTGGGACGTTATAAAGATAAGAAATGCTAAATTCAGAAATATAGATGCATGTACAAGGTAGGCATTTCTATATATTTGTATTAGTTTGGTCGGATTTTTTCTTGCAATTTGTCCTTTGTAGTTTTAATTTAAATATTTCTTTCTTTGTAATGTTTGTGTTACTTTCGTTTCATTTCTCTTTTAGCATATATATATATAGGTACATCATCTACTTGTCACTATACATCATGTAATGTGTTACAACCTTAGATAAGGCCGACGAGGAAAGGCATTACATCGACCACCGAAAGCTATTTTTTATGTAGCCTAGGTGGTCGAGTGGTCTAGTGCGCTGGACACGACGGTGCAGGCGGTGTTGCCACGATTTCATAGAAGCAAATGTTCGATTCCTTCTGAGGGAAGATCTAACATTATTTGGCTTAATTTGAGACGAATTATATATATATAGGATGTGGTCCAGTGGTCTAGAGCGCTGGACATGACTGATGAGGCTAAGCGATTGGTGCTGCAGTGTATCAAAGGTGCGAGTTCAAATCCCGTTGAGGGACAACAATTTGTCAGCAAACAATCTAATTCTAACACTGTTGGGTTTAATTTTCATGCTTATATATGATACTATTTTTTTTCCTCTTTAAATTATTGCAGATGCATTCTGACGACAGTTGATCCATTCAAAGGAGAAAAGTCCAAAGACGAAGAACCGTTAAAGACCTTGCAAACGTGAGAATTGCCAAGTTAGGAAATTGAGTTATTTCCCTTCCGCTGTTATGTATTTCGATGTTGTGGATTAGCCTGATAAAAAACAGTCGTGCCAATTTTTAGGAATATAAATTACTTTATTTTGAAAGATAATACATATATACAGATATCGCCAAAGTATCTGATCTCATGAATCACGAACACCCCAACCGACCTCTCTGTAATAATCGACATACAGGTCGACCTATAATGGTTTACTTTTATAAATTTTGACTTGGATGGAGAGTTGTCTCATTGGCACTCAGACCACATCTTCTTATATCTATATACAAACAAAGACACCATCATCCAGATAGCCTGACTTGGAAAAGGCACACAATTTGTTGGAGGTTAAAACAAATTTACGTATACACAAATCCCTACTTTGCTTGTCTAGACCATATATCGTGAAGAAAAAAAGCACAGTACTGCTACCAACAAATGCAATGCTTTTGCTTAAAAATATGTATCACACGCAACGTCTGCACATCTACTAACTCTGATTTTCTTATAATACGTTGAATATAGATCAAGTAAAACCTCAACCCGTATGAAGACACAACATGTAAATACGTCTTCAATGAATGTGGTAAAAAGAATGAGCAATTTAGAACAAGTCTACATTTCTTCTATGGTTTTTGCTAGTGTTCAGGTCAAGCATAGGTATGGAAAGTGAAACACATTTTCTGAGATGTATTAAATAAAGCTTAACAGTAAAGAATCTTTCCACAAAAAAAACAATTCTTTAAGTAATAAGGCAATTATGTTTGCTTCTGCAATAAAATATTCATTCAATGACAACATCATCATATTAGAAGACACGATTGAATTGTTGGGGATTCTAAAAAAAAAACCTAAAAAATGAAGGTGGAAAACTTAAATCAAAGTTCGGATACCCTCTATCTGTTTCAAACACACCTTTCAGGATGATAAATAATGGTCGATCAAAAATTTATGTTTTTGTTTGGAATCATAGTTGTTTTTCGACATGTGTAATATGTCTCTGAGTACCAAACTTCTCCAAGCAAGTAACGTAACATCTCAATAAAATGCGTTTTTTTTTTTATTTTCAGGTACAGAGCCTTTGAACCTTATCCTCCAAGTAAACCATTATTTGGAATCCATCTTGCCAATGACATAGAAGATGTCATCCATGTTGGAGACCCGATCTACGCCATAAGGAAATAGACTTTAATACATAAGTTCTCTATTAGTTAGGGCTATAAAGCAGATTCAGTACACATTGAAGTTGGTCATCTGATTATAAGTCACAGAGAAAACACAGTTCAATGTGTTACTATAAGCTCTATATAAGAATGAAAGTGTCTCTAATGGCCATATAGAGTGACAGATTTTCTGTTTCTCGCATGGCCGTATAGATTGATAGATTTATGTGTTTCTACTGGCCGTATAGATTGTGACAAATTTTCAACAAAAATAATAAATAATTCAAACCTGAAAATGATCGATTTACATAGTTCAGTTAAACATCAGATCTATCTTGATTGATTCACCGGGTTCACTTAAACATCAAATTTGTCTTGATTAATTCACGGCGCTCACTTAAACATCAGATATGTCTTGATTGATTCACCGGGCCAAATTAACCATCAAATCTGTCTTGATTGATTCACCAAGTTCAATTATCAATCAGATCTGTCTTGATTGAATCGCCAGGCCAACTTTACGTCACTTAATCATCATAGTTGATTGATTCACCGGGTCCTAGTAACAATCATATCTGTCTTGATTGATTCACCAAGCCCAATTAACCATCAAGTCTGTCTTGATTGATTCACCGGGCTCTAGTAACCATCATATCTGTCTAGATTGATTCCGGGCTATTAACCACAAATTCTGGCTTGATTGATTCACCTGGCTCAATCAACCATCAGATCCGTATTGATTGAATCACCAGGCTCGTTTTAAGTCACTTAATCATCAGATCGGTCTTGATTGATTCACCGGGCTCAATTAACCATCATATCGATCTTGATTGATTCACCGGGCTCAATTAACCATCATATCGGTCTTGATTGTTCACCGGGCTCAATTAACCGTCATATCGGTCTAGATTGATTCACCAGGCTCTATTAACCATCACACCCGTCTCTATTGATTCAATTCTTTATTACTTTGAACAATACAGTTCATCAGTATAGTATGCATAAATATTCAATTTACAAGTTGTATATGCGTTAACAAACACGTATATAAACGTCAGAAATATCAGTCACATATTATACAGTTTGTAAGATTCAGACTACATATAATATAAATATGTCTTAAATATTGTTTCTGCACTTAAATGCATAGAGTAAGTACTTTCCAAGATTACAAAGTTCCTTAGTGTTTTCAACAGAAAGTAATTGTACTAATTTATAAGTTGAAGGTCTAGTCCATTAATATTTCTTGATAAACTTCTTACGTATATCACTATAATTTGTACATTGTAAAATAAAATGAAATTCATCCTCTACGACATTTATATCACACATAATACACATCCTACTATTTTTACTTATTCCATAAAAACGACCAGTTTCAATACATAGGTTGTGTGAGGACAGACGAATTTTCGTTATCCTTTTCGAGACATTAATGGAATACATTTTCGCAAATAAAATTGTAATTCTACATTTGACACAATATACTTATATATATTGATGTTTCAAGCGTAAAATGATCTGTCATGATTGGTCCACAAGGCTTTATTTAACATCAGATCTGTATTGATTGATTCACAAGGCTCAGTTAAACATCAGACCTTCAGGCTTGCACGAATATTTCACCAGACTCAGTAAAACTTAAGAACTGTCTTGATTGGTTCCCCAAGGCTCAGTAAAACACCTGATCTGTAAGTCAACTACAAAGATAGAAAACAATTGTGATCGCTAATCAGAGGAGCAACTGTCAATGATGTACTTTACTGTGTAGATAATATATAAAGAAGATAGAGTCTTTCAAATTTCTTAGAGCATTAAAGCAAAAGTGGTGATACACCGTCCATAATAGTCAGTCATATGAAGTTTATGGTGCAAATATTTATAGTTTCAGGAGTTATATGATTTATTTGAATTTTTATTTATTTTTTAGATTTTTATGTTTTTTTGATAACATTAATAAATATCCATATATATTATTACATATCATTCAAATTCTATAGCACTTGGATCAATTAAGCAAAGCTATATATATAATAGTTACCCCCCACAATGATGGCATATTCTTTTTTTATATTAATAAGAGTGAGAACTCTGACCTCTGATAAATTGAATGACAATTAGATGGCAAACAAATTTTATGACGTACATCATTCTGGTGCCATTTGTTATACATGATTGGGTTTTAAAAAGGAGTTTGGAAAGAACTACAACAATATGTGACCCTGCCTGGGTCTATTAGGAAAATAATGTGTCTTTCATGGCAGTAAGTTACAAAAAGAGAGCGGATGCAGTTATCAGATCCAACTTTTCATACAAAAAATTAAAAACATAGCTCAGCTAATTTAAATAAAGGGGGGTTTCCCAATCAACAATACCGATCAGTAGAAGATACGAAAGACCAATCAAATACTATAAATCGACGAATAACAGACCAATGAAATACTTTGAATCGGAGAATAACAGACCAATCAAATACTGTGAATCGAAGAATAACAGACCAATTAAATACTTTGAATCGGATAATAACAGACCAATCAAATACTGTAAATCGGAGAATAACAGACCAATTAAATACTTTGAATCGGAGAATAACAGACCAATCAAATACTGTGAATCGAAGAATAACAGACCAATCAAATACTGTGAATCGAAGAATAACAGACCAATCAAATACTGTAAATCGATGAATAACAGACCAATCAAAAAATGTAAATTGATGAATAACAGACCAATCAAACACTAAATAAAAGATTAACAGACCAATCAAATACTGTAAATCGACGAATAACAGACCAATCAAGTACTGTAAATTGATTAATAACAGACCAATCAAAAAATGTAAATTGATGAATAACAGACCAATCAAACACTAAATAAATGAATAACAAACCAATTAAATACTGTAAATCGACGAATAACAGACCAATCAAGTACTGTAAATCGACGAATAACAGACCAATCAAAAAATGTAAATTGATGAATAACAGACCAATCAAACACTAAATAAAAGAATAACAGACCAATCAAATACTGTAAATCGACGAATAACAGACCAATCAAATACTGAAAATTGATTAATAACAGACCAATCAAAAAATGTAAATTGATGAATAACAGACCAATCAAACACTAAATAAAAGAATAACAGACCAATTAAATACTGTAAATCGAAGAATAACAGACCAATCAAATACTGTAAATCGACGAATAACAGACCAATCAAATACTGTAAATCGACGAATAACAGACCAATCAAATACTGTAAATCGACGAATAACAGACCAATCAAACACTAAATAAAAGAATAACAGACCAATTAAATACTGTAAATCGATGAATAACAGACAAATCAAATACTGTAAATCGAAGAATAACATACCAATCTAATACTTTAAATCGACGAAAAACAGACCAATCAAATACTGTAAATCGACGAATAACAGACCAATCAAGTACTGTAAATTGATGAATAACAGACCAATCAAAAAATGTAAATTGATGAATAACAGACCAATCAAAGAATAAATAAAAGAATAACAGACCAATCAAATACTGAAAATCGACGAATAACAAACAGCACCATGGCTTAAAAAATGACTTAAAAGACAAACATTTATAAAATAATACAAAGAAATCTCCAATCGCCTAAAACATCGGGGCTACAAAAGAAAAGACATTGATAAAGGTTTTTCTCGTGCTAACAACATCAGCCGAGATGAACTTTTACAATATAAAGTCAAAAAGGTCAACAGGAGGGTGCCTTTTGTGTTGACTTACCATCCAAAATTTGACAACTTATCTCACCTAATCCGCGAAAATTGGAAAGAAATCGAAAAACATCCTAAACTATCCAAGATCTTTCCCGAGCCACCTGTACTGGCTTTCCGTAGGCCCAAAAGCCTTAAAGACTTGCTGGTGAGAGCTGATTTATCCTCTCAAGCAGGCTCTTCGTCTGTGGGCTCTTGCAAGGGTTGCGGAAACAAACGATGTCTGACTTGCAAACAAATACTGGTTACCCGGACTTTTAACAGTCACTCCACTGGTACAGAATACACCATACTTTGCAATGTTAATTGCAAGACTACAAATGTTGTGTATCTCCTACAGTGTAAATGTGGTAAACAGTATGTGGGCGAGTCAGAACAGCCGTTTCACAAACGAATGAACGGTCATCGTAGCGACTACCAATTCAAGCCAGACCTCCCTCTCAGTCGACATTTGAGATCCCCTGGCCACACTAAGGCAGATCTCAATCGACTGACCATTACAATCATTGACCACAACTCTGCTTGGTCTAGGGAGGATAGACTCACTCGGGAAAGATTTTGGATAAGAAAATTAACAACTTTGGCACCAAATGGGATAAATGAAAAGATGTAGTTCGACTCCATGCAGTGCTTCACATTTGGGTTATATTACTTATTATTACAGTCTCTGTTTCTATTTCTTTACTTTACTCATCTCTAAAATCTGTTGAATATACCAATTTAAATTGCTTAATTTTTTGAGGGATGTAAAAGTGCCAAGCCACGTTCAACTAGTTAACCTTAGTCAAAATTTATTATCATATTTTAACGGCCGTTTGTTTACGATGTTTAAACACGCAGACTCTGTTGTAACTACTCTACCGTTGTCAAATTTGAAATATTTACAAATTTAGATCGTTCAGTGCTGTTTATTTGAAATTCTTATTGACGCAATCGTTCTTGTAACATCATAACTGTCGTCACCGTTAAAGCTTTAGAATTGTGCTAGTTCATATCGCACATTATTATTTTTATTTAAAGCATATATTTGAACTCTCTGCTGTAATTAGTCATATAACCTATGTCGTGTTTAACACATATTTAGAATTGTGCAAGCGTCTTACCTGATGTTCGGTTTGACTTTTTTATTGTATAAATTTCAAGATTGTTATAGTTTAATTTAAGTAGACTGATATATGATTCATTCAACATCACAATCATATTTACTGATGAAGGATATCTGTTATCCGAAATATTTATAAATAATTACATTTATAGTTCCTTTTTTTGTTATTGGTGTTGTTGTGTACACTTTTTAGGCGTTTATATATATAGAGTCTATAAGAATCTACCAACCAGTAAACTTAATAGGTATTGGATCATCAAAATTGACAATACTACACAAACAGTCTAAATTGAAATAACGTTCAAACCTATAATTGCGTTGGATAAAAACCGCAATTTTTATACGTGCGCATGCAAAACAAATTTCTTGGTAGAGGGGTCTAAATACAGCACAAACAACATTTTCCAAAAGACCAAAATGAGTGAAAAAGTATATTTTAACAAAACGCATTTGACTAGCAGGTCGAACAACTGATGTTCTTAAACCCTGCTGACTGCCATTGGCGATTGCCAAATAAACGGATCACAAGATGTAACAAAACATATCTTATTATTAAATTATTACCAAACAGAAAACAATAAACTTGCGGAAAAGATGGTATACCGCAAACATGAGGTGCAAAAATTTGTACACCATATCCGGATTTCGACAATTAATGTATCTTCAGTGATGTTAGGAATCGACACGGTATTTGGAAGGCTATATAATTTACCTCAATTTAGGATAGACTCTTGAATTTTGCAAGAGTCAAAATAGGATGAACGGATCATATAAACCCGAAGGCAAATATAATACAAGCCCAAACGCAAAAATATAAACAAGTCTAAATTGAAAACAACGTTCAAACCTATAATTGCGTTGGATAAAAACCGCAATTTTTATACGTGTGCATGCAAAACAAATTTCTTGGTAGAGGGGTCTAAATACAGCACAAACAACATTTTCCAAAAGACCAAAATGAGTGAAAAAGTATATTTTAACAAAACGCATTTGACTAGCAGGTCGAACAACTGATGTTCTTAAACCTATATATATATATATATATTTGGCAATCGCCAACGACAGTCAGCAGGGTTTAAGAACATCCGTTGTTCGACCTGTTATAGTCAAATGCGTTTTGTTTAAATATACTTTTTCACGTTTTTGGTCTTTTGGAAAATGTTGTTTGTGCTGTATTTAGACCCCTCTACCAAGAAATTTGTTTTGGATGCACACGTATAAAAATTGCGGTTTTTATCCAACGGAATCATAGGTTTGAACGTTGTTTTCAATTTAGACTTGTTTATATATATATAACATATATACCCCAAGGATAGACTGTGATATAATAATATGGTCATCCGAACTTTTCCCACTAGCAGTTCAACCCATGTTAAAAAGGGCGTATGTTTGGGCGTTCGGAACGTATGAGGTTACACTCCACAGTGAAGTGTGTAGTTTCGCATTTTGGCTCTGGTTGATTTTTCAAACATGAAAGCTAGTGTGCAATAAAATTCATTTTTGAATAGCTGAAGATTAATATACCCGTTAAAGTGGGTTTACATGAAAATCAAGAGTGAGTAATGTATGTATTATGCGCTGTGTTCTGTATAGCTGCAGTATTTTCATATCCATACCAGACATTAGTCCAGAAATTATTGTAATGTTATTAGCACGAACTTTGCGAATTCAATTTTACGAAAATAATTAGGCGAAAGACACCCAATTTTTATTTAATCATTTGTAGATTAATGTCAACAGTTTCAGAAAAGGTATCACTCAAAGACATTGAAATTCTAGTTTGAACCAAATTTTTGGGGAATATGTGACATTTTCATGCCCCTTTTGTAATATTTTATTGTAAATAAATGCAGAATGTTGCCATGGATACACATAATAAAATGAATTATATTTCACCATTTTAACTGTTGAAAATCAAATCTATGGAAGATACTGATTACATAGATATGCACATGTATGACACAAACAGTTAGCTTAATGTATTATTTAGAAAGCCAGGAATACATTCCGGTAGGAATGCATAGGGACGTTACAACCAATGCCTTCCGTAAAGAGAGTCCCGCCAAGCTTTGTACACATTATACTCCCATAATGGCAACAACTC